TTGGGCGCCTGGGGGCATGGAATAAAGACGACTCGATCCACCGTCTGGTGGACCATCAGTGCATCCAAGGCGTCCCCTTCCTCCCGCCCTGCCTCGTCCTCTCCTTCGACAAGTCGATCCTCCCCCCCTAATCCTCCCTCCCCGACACCGACGGGCAGGAATTCCCGCCACGAGAAAGACGGAGAGGAGGCATCGGGCCCTAGCGGATGGGTAGCCTCCATCAGTGCCGCCAGGGTGGCTTTACTGACGGCAATGTCCTCCTCCACGCGGCTCCGGGCCTGCTTGGTCAACGACAGGGAGTAGCCGCGGGCGAGGACCCGACCTTCCACGTCCAGGCTGTACGTGGCAATGTGAGCACGATGCTCCCCCCTTTTTGCCTGGCTCGACACCACGGAGGCTGTGCACGCGACCCCCACGAATGTCCCCTCCCGCAGCACGCGGACTTGGCCCTCCCTCCCGCCTTCCTCCCCGCTGTCTTTCCCTCCCTCCGCCCCTCCCACCGCGAGTGCGACCGCCCGGTGGTACGCGGCTCGTGCCAGTTCAGACGCCGTCGATGCCGAGCAGTAGGAGCCGTCGGAGGGAGGAAGCGAGGGCTCGCGCCTTCCATGCGCCAAGTACACGGCAATCGCCCCCTTCGCATAGGGAGACGCTAGCTCCAGAAGCACATTGCTCGCGCCCGCCGTGCCCAGCATCCATTGACCAAGGGCCCCACCGGCACCTGTGGTGCACACGCATATCTGTAGGCGGGAGGGCGGGGTTGGAGGACGGGAGGGTTGGCTCGCAGGTGGGGCTGTGTACAGGGTGCGGAGAGCGGCCTGGACGTCGGGGGGGATGGCGCAAATCATCGTGGAGACGGGGCCCGAGGGCGAAGCGGAAGAAAGCGCACGCACGGACGTTCGACCCTTGACGTGAAAAAGGCGCGAAGGACCCCCGGGCACACCGTTGAAAGAGGTGAAGGAGGCTTCCTGCGCTTTACGCCCCCCCCCAAAAGAGAAGGGCGCGGTCGAGGTGATGGAGCGGGGAAGCGCGGGCGAAATCCAACCTAAACCAGACGCGTGGAGGGCTGCGCTTGCTTTACTCCAACCAAAAAACGGCCGACACGGAGAAGGTAAAGCGCCTCCGAGGGCGCCACGGAGGGGGTCGGAACGTGCGAGACTCCCAGGACAGCCCAAGGAAGGGGTGAAGGAGGAGGCAGGGATGGGCCCGTGCGCGCTGCCTAGAGACCAAGTTATGCAACGAAGGACGACAAGCAGGAAAGAAGGACGCTGATTGATGCCGAGACCGCGTCTTTGAGAGGGACATATACAGAAAAGGGGAGAAACGTGACCAGGAAGAACACGAAGTGAGGAAGGAAAAGGCGAAATGGGATGAACTAAACCGCAGAGTTGCCGCCGTACATAATTTTTTGAAATATGCACATACCGAGTACTCTTTATCATCCCCCGCGTATAAGGGATCCTCTACTCCCCAGCAAGCGGCCCGTTTGTTCCCTCTTCACACGTCACCAAGGCAGCGTTTTGGGAAGTACTAAAAGCTGGGCTCGGGCAAACCTGTCCCCCCCCCAAAAAAAAGGAGAGCATGAGGTTCTGCTTCCGTTTTAACCAACCTTATCATTCCATGCGTTACCTCTCGTAAAATGCTTTCTTTAAAACCTTCCCACGTCAACTACCTCCGGTTCTAGCGACAGCGACTCGGAGGGGCGTGGATACCATGACTAATCGCAAGCACAATGTTGTGGACAAGGCCAGCGTTGGCCCACAACAGCGACAGTGGCCCACCATTGTAGGCATATGTGGAATGTTTTGTGGTGGTTGCAACGCACGTGTATGCCTTCGGCAAGTTGTTCACCTGCGGGAGAGATAAGCTCTCTTTCAGCAAGCCACGCCCTTCCTCTCTCTCTCAGTTACCTGACCCGTGCTGCTTTGTCTCCCTCTCTCTGCCCAATCCTGCCCTCACGCCACTCAACCAACATCGTTGCGAACAGGTACACGGCTGGGCGGCTATCATGGCCAATGCATCCATGCGAGCCGCTGCAGCGCAGTATATCAACCCGGCGCCGCAGCTTTCTCACAAGACGATAGTCGTTCGGCTCTATCGCAAGAGCCTGAAGACTTTAAATTCTTGGTAGGTGCTTCTAGGCATGGCTTCATGCCCAACCCCATCCTCTCACATGTGCTCTGCGCATTTGTGTGGTCGTTGTTTTGTGCATGCGAAGTTATGTCTTGAATGTTCCCTGTGCGAACCGCCAGGCGCGGCAAGGAAACCTGGAGCGTGACGGCCACCTTTGCCTCCCTCCCGCATTACTTTCTTACATGGGTTGCCTTTCCAACCTCTCAAACGATTTCCATGCCCTCGATATTTTCTTATCGTACCCTCATAGCCTATCTCCGCTAGATACACGCTAAAAGCGTTGTCTGTTCCTCCTTTCCCCGCTACCTGTTCAATGTTTGCCCCTTTTCTTTCCTTCCCCTCCCCATCTCTTGACCTCTTCTGTCATGCCACGTATTCGTCTTCCTCCCTTCCTAATCCTGTCTGCAATTCCTTTCCCCCGCAGGGCTATCGACCGGGAAGTTTTCCTCTCCGAGGCCGGCAAACTCCGAGCCTCCTTTTCGGCCAATGCACACTTGGCACCCGAGTCAGGGAAAGTGAAGGCGTTGGTCCGAAAGGCCCACGAAGAGCTTTTGCGTTACTCCCACCCCGACAAATACATCCTTCCCTGGATGCCAGGCGGGACTCTCTTCATGCGGAACCCCCCCTTGCCCTTCGACGTGGTGTTTGCCGGTCACGTCCCTGAGGACGTGAAGGAGGAGCCGTTGAACATCGACATGACCCCCGTCGTGAAGGGAGAGAAGGGCGACGGTCGTGTTCTGGTGGACAGCGCCAACAAGGCGTATTTCTGAAAGGGAGGCGAGGGGGGAGGAAAGGGACATGTGTATCTAGGTAGGGCGGGGGAGCATGATTTGAGTATCTGCAAAGGAGCGAGAATGGAAAAGGCATGGAGGCCAGCGATGCCATTCCAAGGGAAAGAAACACCCATCAAATGGCAGAAAAGGAGGCACGCTCGCTGGCACTTTTCAGGGGTCTTGAAAATAGTCTTTCTGGCAACGCCGACGGGGAAGGGAGTGGCGGTAGAGCCAAGAAAAGTGGGAAGAGGAGCATGTGTACAAGCGCACATGAGCCTTGTCGCCCAGCGTGTTGGTCTCGCCTTCGTTTTTTTCTGTTTTTTAGCGGGGCTCTTTGATGAAGGAGGAGGAAGCAAGACGCCTCCCCCCCTCCCGACCGCAACCTAAGCTTATCGTGTCCTACTCATTGATTCATTAACGCTAATTCACTGTTTTGATGCCATAGACCTCGCATTCCTATTTATGTTCATGCAACGTGCTGTCCATTTCATTGATTTTTGGAAACAATGATTGGCGTCGTCCCACCCTTCTCGGGTCCACGCCCGCGGGACTCCGGGGTCCGACCAGACAATGCTGCGCACGGGCCAAGCCAGAGGCCCTGCTCCCCAGATCCTCACCTTCCCGCTCTCTCCTCCATCCCTCGTCTGCAGCCTTGCTCCTCGCCCCCTGCCTCCCTCCCTTTTGTTGCCGTCCTACCGGGCACGTCACCCTGTGCCAAGCCTTTAAATAGCCCAGCACTGGCATCCTCCCTTCCCTTCTCTACTGCCTCGCATGTGCAATGCCCTGCTTCCTTGCTTGTCCATCTACTTGCAAAATCCACCCTCCTCCCTTTCTCCTCAAGCCTCCTCCTCTCCCATCAATTCCTCCCTCGATCCTTCCCGCAAAGGGGGTCCGAACAGCCCTACCTCCATCGCCGACCGTACCACCAGTTTGGAGCCTCGCTTGTACGTGTACCCAATGAATTCGTGGCCCTTCTCCTTGCGGCCCGCCGCCCCGCCCCC